ACACACACACACACACACAATGTAAATTAATTAATTAATTAATTAAAAAAAAAAAAGAAAAGATGAGGATCTGTTCTTTGGTATATGTCTCAGTTACTTTGCTCTAATTGCTGGGACAAAATACCTGACACTCCAAATTAATGAAGGAAACGTTTATTTAGCTGACAGTTTGTGGAAGTTTCAATACACACTTGGCTGGCTGGCTTCAATGCAGCGTGGTGCATGACAGAAGGCAACAGTTCATGGGAGCAGAAAACAGCGAAACAGCAAGAGCAAAATGGGAGGTGCAGAGGCAGAAAGCAAGCCTCTCTTTTTTTAAAAATATATTTACTACAGGGTCTACAGGGTCTCACTACACAGATTGGACTTGTAGTGATCCTCCCAAGTGCTGGGATTGCAGGCGTGTACCATCATGCCGAAGCTCATTCACGGCTCTGTATGCCCCGAATGCAGGCCTGGCGCAGTACCCAGGGATTGAACCACTGGCTCCTTTGTCTGCGTAAGCAAGCCCTTTAATCCACTGAGCTATCTGCCCCCCTCTTTTTTAAAAATTTTATGTATTTGGTACAGGGTCTCACAGACTTATAGTGATCCTCCTGTTTAAGCCTTCCCAGAGCTGACCACACCCAGTCTCAGTAGCTAAACTCAGTGACCAGCCCAGCACACCCAGGGCAGGACCACAGCATGCAGTACCCTAGGGATTGAACCTGGGTCCTTGTGCTTGCCAGGCAGCACTTAGACTGCTGAACTATCTCTGTGACCCTCTCCCTTTTCTATATTGCATTTAGACTGTCTGCCCCAAGAGGAGAGTAGGATTGGCATCTGTATTCCCAGCAGTACTCACATCCCTAATTCTAGCGTTGGATGATGAATTAATGACAAACTCTAGAAGTCTGCCCCATGAACACATGAGGCTTTGGGGGAACAACTAGACAACAAACCATAACAGTGTGAAATGACTTAACTTTATTGAAGCTAGTAATCTTTGATTGATTGATTGATTGATTGATTGATTAATTGATGTTTGCAGAACCAGGGATTGAACTCAGGCCCTTGTGCTTACCAGGGAAGCACTTATTCTACTGAGCCATGTCCCCGGCCCCTCTGTTCTTGTTAGTCTCTGTAATATTAATTATATATCTTAAAAACTCTTGTTGTGTGTTGCAGGGCTGGGGAGATGGCTCAGTGGAATAAGTGCTTCCCTGGCAAGCACAAGGGCCTGAGTTCAATCCCCAGTTCTGACCAAAAAAAAAAAAAAAACCAAAAAACTCTGTTGTGGGCTGGAGAGATAGCTCTGAGGTCTAAGCACCTGCCTTGCAAGTGCTAGGACCATGGTTTAATGCCTGGTACCGCATGCCATGCTGGTCTCGGAACCACAGGCACACTGTGCTGGCCACCAAAAACGGGTTTGGTCACACACACTTGTAATCCCAGTGATGGAGAGGCTGAGGCAGAAGTATCACTGGGAGTCCAAGCTGCGTAGTGAGACCCTGTACTAAATAAATAAATATATAAAAGATAAAAAAAAAAACAAAAACCTGTTGCGGGCTGGTGAGATGGCTCGGTGGTCTAAATCACCTACTTAGAACAAGCTAAGCTAAACAAAGCACAGGGACCATGGTTCAATCCCCCAGTACCACATGCCAGCCAGCCCTGCCCCCTGGTGGGCTGAGCTGGCCACACACACACACACACAAAATAAAGAAAGAAAGAAAAAAGAAAAAATAAATAAATAAATTTCTAAAAAAAAAAAACCTGTTGTTGTGTAGGACCAGAAAAAAGACTGCTAATGCTGTTTGAGTTTTCTTTCTTTAGCCTCAATATTCTGTTTGCCATTGTGTAATTCTATTACAGAAAAAAAAAAGAATTATGTAAATCTGTTTAGTGCAAGGGCCTGAGTTCAATCCCCAGTTCCGGGAAAAAAAAAATCTGTTTAGCAGTATTACATATCTAACACTGTGGTAGATGTTTGAGTAAGAGGAAAAAAGAAAAAGGTGTGTTAGTTCCTCAGAAAATTATCTTCTAATGGAGTTATAGATATTATATGGGTTACAGCTAGATGGCTTTACTTATTTTGTTTATTTATTTAGACTTTTTAAAAGATTTATTGTCATACACCTAGTGCAAAAATCAAGGATAAACCTTCACATGTGGTTGGATCTAACTACTGAATCAGTATTCTTAGGATTCTCATTTTCCATCCTTTGGCTACAGATTGGTTTTATTCACAGGCAGTCTTCTTCAGCCACCACCTGCAGGCTTTCTTTGCCGAAGTGCAGCATCATTAGCAGAAACTAATACTCTTTCTCAGTTGGTTAGCAGAAATGCTAACACCAGTTTTAACTTGCCAAGACCTGAGTCCTGGCACAACCGAGTCAGGAAAGTGATGTCACCCTTTGCAAACTGCATGGACTTCAAGAGGGAAAAGATGGTTCTGCAGAACATAAGGATGCTATTTTCAGAAAAGAACATGTACTCTGGGTAGCAAAGGCTGGACTGCAATATTTAGACAAGGATAGAACTGTGGAAGAAATCAGGGATCTGCTAGAGTCTTTGTTGTTAGGATTTTAAGAATTATTGGAGGAAAAAGTTCAGGCACAGGTCTGTGTGTTTTCTGTACTCCCAGCAACAGGACTTACAGTTGTTAGTTATACAGAGAAAGACTATATTTTCTTTAAAAAAGAAAACAGTTTTAAGTTGTGTTTCTAACCATAGTGGCTGACTTAAGTTTTCTACCGAAACAGTAACATATTTTAGACAGCTCTTCTGTGATAAATCCCCTTTGTTTCCTTGCACATCTCGTTCAGACTTGTCAAGTGGAGTCTGCTTGATATGGTGTGACATGTAGATGCTGGATTCTCTTTTTTTTTTGTCATCCCATTACTTCATCTTTTAAAGTTACATCAGTTACTTTTCTTCAGGTTTTCTTATATGGTTTGCTTCACATATTTTCACTATACATATTTTCTTAAACCCCAATTCTTTTTATATTCGTGTGAATATAATTTATCTTAATTCTTGGTGAGGTGAATTGTATCTAAAAATCACTAGAGGGCTGTGTGACATTTCATCAGACTTAAAAATATACATAACCAGAGATCTGTTTGAAGCAATAGCAAAATTGTTTAATTCACTTTTATGCATTTTCTAATGTGCCAAAAGGGAAATTGGCTCTGCGGCCCTTGGCCCAACATTTTGATTTATTGCAGTCATTTTCTACTTTAATAGCAAAGTCCATCATTTTCTTTTGCTGTCTCCTAGGCAGTTCAGATTAACCAAAGTAGGATTAATTGGATCCAGGATGACAAGATCTCTTGCTCTGTGTCAATAATTTAGGATCAAACAGTAATCCAGTATACAATCCAGTATGGCTCGTTCACTTGGTAGATTGATTATTTCTTAGTTTCGATGGGGTAAGGAGGCCAGTCCAGGTAGTTGCTAATATTAATAGGCAATAAAACAAGGAAGATAATGTTATGTAATTTCACACTTCTTTTAAAAGGCAAAGTCAGCTGGGCATAGTGGATTGCACCTGTAATCTCAGTGCTCAGGAGATGGAGGCAGAAGGATTGCCTCTTTAGAGGACAGTTTGTGCTACATAGTAAAACTGTTTCAAGGTCAGATTCTTTTTGGTTTATGACTTTTACTAAGTAACTACTTTGAAGATCACCGTTTACTTAAAATAACAAATCATTAATATTTCAAGTGTGAATCAGCACTATTCTACTGATTTTCCTTCTGATTTGAATTTTCCTTCTGATAATGTCTTAGGCTAGATAACCTAAAATACTTTCTGTTCCAAAACACATAATAATGCTGGGTAAAATAGATCAGTCATCTCTTTCATGAATAGCTTAGCAGTCAAGAACGTGGAGAAGACCCTAAGTAATCCTGTAGCCAGTTCTGTAATGATGAAGATTGGAATGGTCATAAAAAAATGCATGTACAATAAGGACTGGGAAGAAAAAAATTATCCCATTATTTCCTAAAACACAGATTTTGTGAGATAGTAGTTGTGATAATGATTAACTTGGTTATCAAAATTGGGCCAAATCTAAGATAACAATAACATGACAGAAAAAAAGGAATAAGAATTATACTAGGGCCAGCCAGATATAGCTCAGTGGACTAAAGCGCCTGTTTAGGCAGAACACGAGCCGCAGTTACCACAAGCTGTGCCCTAAATACAAAAAAAAAAAAAAAGAATTATACTATGCTAGTGATCTGTTTTTTGTTTCTTTGCTTTATTTTTTTAAGAAGCATCTTGTTAGTAAAATTTTAAGAATGTGTGACGTTGGAACAAGTAAAGGGGAGAAAGCAAGTAACATAGATTCATTACAATAGAATGCAAGAAAAGAAAACATATCCCAAAATGTCAAAATGCAAGTCCAAATATAGTGGTATTTATAATAAGTAGAAATGATCAAAACTTCCTAGCAAAAATACAGAGATTATCACAATCCCTTTATAT